GACAAAAATGTTTGAAACTTTTGTATTAGTATGTTACATTATTCTTTTGATATCTATAAATTTAAATTCTTTTCTAGATACTAGATATTAGTTACTGTTTTATGAATCAAGTCTAACATATTTTGTACAATAAAATGATCATATTAATATGCGTTTGCACATCATATTAGAATACATTAGGAAAATAAAAATTTAGTGAAAAAATGGATGGGGAATCAAATACACCTTTCTTAGATATTTGATACTTTATGTGTGTGTTTTATACTCTTTTATAACATGATATTTATTAGTCTTTTGTGTGTTTATAATATATTAAATCTAACAATTTTTTGTTTAATCATTCATTAAAGGATTTAGATTCAGGACATTGGTGGGTAACAGATATAGTTTACAAAAAACCAGATATACATATTGGTTATTGGCCAAAAGAACTATTTGATATCATGGGTAATGGTGTGAACATTGCTGGAGTTGGAGGAGCAGTCGTATCTTCTCCTTCTGGCATCAGTCCACCAATGGGTAATGGTCATCTACCAACAAAAAACGATATGGAATCAGCACGCGTTAAAGCCATTCTCATTGCAGGTACTGAAAAATTTAAAAGAGTTACAAAATCTATGTTGGAGACTATATTAGACAGTGACAAATGTTATGGAGTAAAATGGGGAAAACAATATTTGTTTACCTTTGGTGGACCGGGAGGAGATTCTTGTTAAATATAACATTACAAAGAAATTATGTTCTTGGATATTATGATAATAAATAATTAAACTAGTGGTTTTATTATGTTCCAACAATTAAAAGATTCAGCATATATTTGAATTGTTTGTGTATATACTACCTTATGCGTCTCACTCTTAAGTTTGTGAAATAGATGACTGATCACGATCAAGTGTTTGCAAAAAACCGTTCGAGTTTGAGATTGATTAGTCCAATTTTGGGCTAACTTGATTCAGTTGATGGGTTCTTGATGGCCTAAAAAAACCCACAAAAATAGAGATATTAATAAATTAGATTGATTAAGAAGAGATCGAGAGTCATTTATTAGAAAAGTTTCTTCAACGACAAAAAAAAAAAAAAAAGAGTTTCTTCAACGTTTTCCCCGCCCTTCAGTTTCAGACGTCACGTTTTAAGAAATCATAAATTTTATTTATATTTTTATGAATTTCTCTCTTTGAATATCTTTGAAAATAAATAATATTTTTGAGAATATCTTTTTTAATTCGAGTTTTAAACTTGGATGCTCATTACACAGTGACAACCAATTTTATATGCTATTTTGAAAATAAAGAAAGATCTCAAAGACATGATTATTATATTTTAATAGCCTGTCCTATTAATAGTAGATTAAAGATGTTCAATTTATTTATAATCGTTTAAATAAATTCATTTTTTCTATATCTAATATCAAACACCGAATCTAAACTAAACAAATAAAACGATTTATAACCCAA